CGTAAGGTCAGCAGTTCGAAACTACCAGAGGTTCCGCGGGAGAAAGATGAGGCGTTCTGCTCCCGTAAAGATTAACAGCCTCGGAAACCCTGTGCAGGGTCGCTATGAATCGGAACTGACTCCACGGCACATAACAACAACAACAACAATTTAGTCATCTGGTATCATAGTGGTTACGAATCGGGCTGCGAACCGCAAGGTCAGCAGTTCGAAACTACCAGCTGTTCTGCGGGAGAAAGATGAGGCTTTCTGCTCCCGTAAAGATTTACAGCCTCGGAAACCCTGTACAGGGTCGCTATGAGTCGGAACTGACTCCACGGCACATAACCACCACCAATTTAGTCCTAGTGTGGCACTGTAGGATAAGCACTGGACCACAAGGTCAGTTTGAACTGCAAGATTGGTGGTTCAAAATAACCAGTCACTCCTCAGAAACCCTCTACAGGGTTGCTATGAGTGGGAATGGTCTCGATGGCACTTTAACAGCACCAATTTAGTGCTTGGACTCCTGGTGTGGCTCTGTAGGATAAGTACTGGACTGCAAACCACAAAGTCAGTAGTTCAAATCCACCAGTTGTTCCTCAGAAATACTAACTGGGTTGATATGAGTTAGAACCAACTCAGCAGCACTTAAAAGCAACAACAATGTAGTTCTTATGCTTACTTAGCTCTCAGCTTCAAGAGCCTGTTGTTGTTGTTATGTGCCTTTGAGTCAGTTCTGACCCATAGAGACCTCATGAAGGATTTCCAAGAGCGGCTGGTGGGTTTGGACTGCTGGCCTTGTGGTTAGCAGTCCAGTGCTTATCCTACAGTGCCACGATCAAGAACTTGGTGGCATTTAATTGAATTTAAAGCACAAGGAAATCATTTATACTCAAAAGGTTCTAAGTCCATGCTGGGCTCCTTTGGCCTTGACTTTTGAGTAACTATTATTATTGCTCAACAAGTGGTCAGCTTTTCTGAAATGTGTTCCTCGTCCATCTCTCCTTGTTGCTCTAGCTTCACCGTGGTCTGAGCCACCCTCTTCTGGATGGATGTAACAACTTCCTCACCTGTCTCTTTCTCTTCTTGCCCCCGACAATTAATACATTCTCTGCATAGCAGTCCAAGGGAGCTTCTACAAATTTTGGACCCTCATTCCTTTGCTTACATCCTCCGAAAACCCTCCCTTTTGAACTTAGAAGAAAAAACTAAATTCCTTCCAAGTCCACAAAGGCCCATGTGAGCAAGCCTGTGCCTACCCATCCCTTTTTCCCTGTTCCCACTTAATTCTACTTCAGTCACACAGAGCCCCACAAACATACCAATTTGTGCATTTCCCAACAGAGCTCCCAGGTCCCGTGGTCTTGACTGAGATGATACCTCACAGAGGCCTCTCTTGACCATTCCATCCAAATCAGGAGCCCTGCCCCAACTGTACTTTCTTACATTTCTCTGGGCTTCCTTCTCCAGATCACTTGCTTGAGATTTCAGTACAGTTTTTTGATGTCTGTCTGGGGTCTTAGGGAGGGAGTACAAGCGAGGCTTGGGAGTTTGGGGTGCTGGGGGAAATGGAAGTGCTGGGCTGGAGCTTCCTGCTTATCACTCACTCAGATCTCTGTGTCCCTCCAGACTTGAAATTAGTATTGTCAGTCTCATTTTTCAGAGGAAGAAACTGTGGTTTAGAGAAGGGTAAACTTTGTATAACATAGGTAGTCAGTGGTGTGTCAACTGGACTTTGTACCCAGTTCTATTGGCTCCAGGACAAGTGGTCCCACCCATACCATAATGACCCCTTAAACCAAGACCACACTGCCCACACCCAGCGGAGTCAGAATTCTACTCAGGCCTTGTTGTTGTTATGTGCCATCAAGTAGATTCTGACTCATAGCAACCGTGCATAGGGTTTCTGAGAAGCAGCTGGTGAGCTCGAACCACAGAGCTTATGGTTCAAACCAACCTTGCAGTCCAGTGCATTATCCCACAGTGTCACACCAGGACTCCCTATCTCACCCTAAATTCAGTGTCTTGCCCTGGTACTACTTCTCCCTCTCTGAGATATGAAGGGAAGGGAAACTTTCTGGGTTCCCAACCCACAGGCTGCAGGAAGATAAATGCCCAAACTGTGCTAAGCCTATAGTCAGACCCACTCTGTTTCCTGTTGGGGTGGCCTGAGGTTATTCACGGTCACTGCCCAGGTGTCAGTCATACTTCAGGACATCCTTGGCTGGTTCCTTCCTCTGAAATCTTCTCCTGGGGTGAGATAGTCACAGACTCTTCCTTCATGGAGCAGGCTCAGCCAGGGTTAGCCGGTTAGTGAGTGTGTGGGCGCACATCTTAGCACTCTAGAAACTGCATTCCAGGGTTAAGACCTTAGTGAAGTGATTTAAACTCCAGGCATCAAGTTAGAGTCCTAGTGTGGTGCTGTAGGATAAATACTGCATTACTAGCCAAAAAGCTGGGGGTCCAAATCCACCAGCAGCTCCTCAGAAACCCTACATAAGGCTGCTATGAGTCAAAACTGATTCCATGGCAGTTAACAACAGCAGCAGGCATTCCCTGCCTGTGAATGGGGATGAACTGGGAGCTGCTATTATCATTTGTCTTCCATTTAGCTGATTTCTAAATGATGAAAAACACACCCCCCCCCAAAAAAAAAACCGGAGAGAAGCAAGAGTTGACATTCATGTTATATATAGCTGGGAAAGCAGAAAGAGGGAAGTGGGAAGAAATTAGAAACCTGAGTCCTTGGTTACATATCCAGATCTAATTCATTCCTAAACTCAGTTGGATCTGCCTCACATTTTATCCCCTAATGTTAAAGTTCTTTCATCATCTGTCAGGACCACCACAACCAGCCCCTCATTCCTGTATCTGTTTCCCATCTCCTTTCACATTACAAGGAAAAGCAAATCTGACATGTCATTGACCTGCTTAAAATCTGTTGGTGACACCCCTCCCCCCCAGTGACCTTGGGAAAATCTAAACTCCTTACTCAGTTCTACAAAGTTCTGTAAGATATGGTCACTGCCAGTCATTCCAGTTTCATATCTCTCCTCTCTCTCAAATCAAAATGTAGCCATTTAGTACTTAAAATTTTCTGTAGGCACTGTGATCTGCGATCTTCACCTGGACCCTGCATGCATCTTAGGAGTGGCTTGGGTCACTTTGTGTAACACTAATAAGTCTTTTCTCTAAGCACCCTCAGGTCCTTCTTTGTGTACCTCTAGATTCCTGTATGTCCACGATTACACTCTTATTTATCAGATTTACTACTACTGCGTGTCTACTTCTCCATCTGGTCTTGAGCTTGGAGAGGGCAGGCCTGTGAGCTCATGCTAGGTCCCCGAGCCTGGTTCTGACCAGATTGCCAGCTAAATATTTGGGGACTGCATGAAGCAACTACAAATATGTCAAGATCCTCCTTTGTGTCAGGCCTGGGAGGTACAGGGCTCTGGAAGCACAGCCTATTTCCAGAGCAGTTAATCCAGTAGGGGAGATGAGCCATAAACGAGGCAAGAAACAAAAGGCTTAAATAACAGTTTAGGACGAAAGAAGTCGGGTCACAAGGTTGCAACTCATCTCCTCAACAAAGTCTTTTCTTGTCAGTGCTGAGAAGTTGAGGAGAAAGACCTGAATGTAGTTCTGGTTAGCTCTGAGTGTCAGCTTTCTGAGAAATGGGATTCACTTCCTCCTGGGCCTGATTTGGTGTTCACCGAGCCCTAGTCGGAAGGAATACTGGAAGGCCGTCCCAGCAATAGTTTTCATATGGTTTCTCCTCATTGTTTCTTCTCCAGTTCTCCCCCAAGCCCAAGAAGTCCCGGCTTCCCGCCCGGAGACCTCCCACTGCCTTCCCGGGGCCCCTTTCCCTTTCCCTCCGCCTTCCTAACGGAGGAGGCGGACCCATCTACGAAGTGCACCAATCCGAGGGCCCTTAGCCGCTTCTGCCTCCCGCGAGTCCCGCCTCATGCTTCCATTCGCCATTCGTGGGCAGGGGCACGCTGCTCCGCACCCGCCCCACCGGACCTCCCAATAGCGGGCGGACTGAGCCGCCGGCGCCCCGCCCCTCCCGCGCTCCGCTGCGGCTCCGCTGGCGGCCGCTCGGGTCTCGGCATTCTCGCAGTCGCGCCGCGTAGCGTCGGGTTCGGGCGGGTGGCGGCGGCGACGTCGGGAGAGCAGGCAGCGGCGCTGCTGCTCGCTGGGTGCTGAGTAGAGGCAGCGGGCTAGGAGGGCGCCACCGGCCGGGCCGGAGGGGTCCCTCAGCTCCGCCAGGGCCCGCGGCGCGGGATCCAGGACCGAGGAAGAGGCAGCTCCCAGGCTGCCCGGGGCCGGGCCCGGTGTCCCCCCGGAGGAGGCGGACGGCCGACCGTACCCAGCTTGATTGCGGACGTCGAACCCAAGACCCTGGGCCGGAGCGCCCCGACGTGTCTCCCCGAGAGGTCCCCCAGAGTACCCGCCGGGCCACCCGCTTGTGTGTGTGTGTGGGGTGCCCTCAGCCTCCCACTGGACTCACCTGAGCAGGCCGCCTGGCATCCAGGTGCGGGGGCGTGTGCGCCGCGAGGGTGCCTCCCCCGGCCGCCAGCGGGGCGGGGGCGGAGCCGCCCTCCGCTTTCTGTCTCACCGGTCGGCCAGCAGCTTTCAGTCTCGCTGGCCCGGCTGCGCGGTGTGAGCTCTCCGGGGACCGCGGCTCGGGATGCTGCCCGCCAGCGCGGCCGCTCGCGCACCGCTTACCACCCCTACCCTTGCCTCCTGGGACATGCCCCTCTGTTTACATGCCGGTGAAGCCCCCGGCCGCTCAGAGTACCGACAAGCGCGGATCTCCCGAGGGTGAAGCAATCCGACCCGCGAACTGGACTGGACCCCCGCCGGCTCAGCTGCCTCCGCCACCTTCTGGGTGGGATCCGACTCTGGTGTTTAGAGGAGGGAGAGTGGTAAAGGGAAAGGAATCCTGGGGATTTCTGCGCCCCCCCCCTTTTTTTTTTTTCTTGGCCTTCGGGGCTTCAGACTCAGGGAATTCGCCCATGGCTTTCTTGATGAAAAAGAAGAAATTCAAATTCCAAACCACTTTTACCCTGGAGGAGCTGACTGCGGTTCCTTTCGTGAACGGGGTCCTCTTCTGCAAAGTCCGGCTGCTGGATGGCGGGGATTTTGTCAGCTTGTCGTCAAGGTAGGAGCTGGGGGCGGTGGTGGCCCCTTTGGAAGTCTGGTGCCTACAGGGAAGGCAGGGATGAGCAAGATATAGCTACTTGGCAAAGGTGAAAGCGCCCCTTTGGGGGCCAGGGAAAATCTTAGGGATGATGTGTGTATAAGGGGGTTGTTGCACAAGACTGGACTGGCCCAGTCAGTGGGAGACTTGGGACAGAGGAAGTTGGCAGCGTGCTGGGCTTCAGGTGACTGGTGGGATACCTAGGGGTCTATTCTTTCAGCCCCACCCCTTGGGGCCCTGCATACAGCCCTAAGTATATCTCTTCTACAGACGTGCATGGTGAGCCCAGCGGAGTTTGGGCCTTGAGAGGAGGGTGGTAGCGGCAGGGGCGTTCCAGGTCATTTGAACGCACACATACACACCTCCATTGTCCTTCCCCAGCTGGTCACTTGGGCTGTCATATGATTTGAGTCTTCACCAGCCACAGGTTCCGCGGTCCTCACCAGAGGCTGGGAAGACCCCTGGGTTGCTGGAGGGAGGTGGTTGGATTTGGGCCCTCCCAGTTCTTTCTGGGCTGTTTGCTGTTTTGCATTGCAAATGCCCTTGTCGTAGAGGCTGCTCTCCGTTCTGGAAGCGGCTCCTACCAGTTGGGTTTTGTGTTCCTCCCCATCCGGGCCAGTCCAGCAGCCCAGTTTATTGCTTAAGTAACACCGTTCCAGGACTACGTCTAGGTAGCTGGATTGCCCCTCCCCCCAACAGCTTCACACAGCTCTGGACTGCTCAGGAGAGAGCCGTGGAATCTAACAGAATGGAGTTCAAATCCTAGCACTGTCACTCTGGGGCCTCAATTTGCTCTTCTGAAAAAACCGGCCTAGTAAAAGTCCTTCCACAGAGAACAGTGAAGTGTCAGTGAGATAGAATGTAATGCAGGGCCTGGCCCAGTGCCCCGGACATACTGGTTCTCCTCTCTGGTGTGTCCCTTTGCTTTTCCAGGCCTCCTTGTGAGCTCAGTTAGCCAGAGCAGCCTCAGTGCTCAAAGATGAGTGCCCAGAGGGTGGAAGTAAGTGCCTTGTCAGGGACCTTGCAGGTGGCAGTTGACAAGCTAACTTGGCCTGTTAGGGGACCTGTTGTGTGAATCCAGAGAGCGAATGCACTGCTGGAGGAAGGGAGAGGAGTATGTGACCAAACCCAAATTTAGGAATCTCTGGTGGTTGTGTTTGTGTGTGTCAGGGTGTGGGGATGTTGGTGTTTCTGTGTGCTCTGGCCTTTGAGGCCTGGCGAGGCACTGCTGGGAGCTGCTTATCTGAGGAATTTGGACGGGCTGCCTTTCTCAGAGGGGGTGGGGACCATTGTCAGTTACCAGAGAAGCAAGCTCTCTGGGGCCACCCACACAGGGTCCTAAGATTTCTGGGAGAGGGCTGTGCCCAGAGGTAGGGCCTGCAGTAGGCCATTCACAGGCTGTGTGACCTTGGACAAGTTGCCTAGCCTGTCTGATTCTAAGAGCAAGCATTTATGGGTGCTGTGCTCCCCGTTTTACAAACACTTCTCACTTAGCCCTTTGTGTTGTGGAGTAGATGTGTATGTAGGGAGGGGGCACATAAAATTATTATCCTCATTTTATGGAAATGGGCACCAAAGGTCGGAGAGGGAATGGTTGATATATTTGGAGTGCAGATTGAAACTCAGGGTGTGCTTTTAACCCCTACCCTGTTCTACCTGAGCCTGCTACCTTTTCTGTAAAATGGGGAAATCCTACCCATCCCTATGATTGTGAAGAAGAATAGGTAATATGACAGGGGGTCTTCAAAAAGTTCATGGAAGCTTGGAATTAATTAAAGGATAATGGACTTTTTGCACAAACTTTTTGGAGCCCCCTCCTATATGTTTCAGAAACCCTATACAGGGTCGCTATGGGTCGGAATTGACTCGATGGCACTTAACAACAACAACTTCTGTATGTACCATATCTGGCCCAGGCAAAGCCATGTAGCAGTTGTAGTTACTATGGGCAGTTAGAGGGACCAGGTAGATTTTACAGAGGGAATGCATGTGTGTTTGGAAGTCAGAGTCTTGGATACCACTAAGGAATTGATATCAAGGTCTAGACTAAGGTTTTTGCCTGGCCTCTCAGGCTCTGGAGTTCTGTTCCTCTACTTAAAGACTCTCCATCTACCCTAAACCTGCTTCTTCATCTGGAAAAATCTGGAAAGTTCCAGACTTCAGCTCACAGCGTTCAGATTTCATCTCAGCCTCCCCGTCTCTCTTGGCAAGGAGATACAGATTCCTCGAACCTGGCTGAGCCCAAACAGACTTTCCTAGCCCTCATCCTGCATGAAATCTGAGTCAGGCTGAAGAGGGAAGAACTTAGTGGGTGCCGGCAAGGGTACTGGAAACATAAGGCATAATAACATTGGGACCTGAAGCCAATTTTGAACTGATTCCGCTTTTCCTAGGATCTGAATCTTAGCCTTAGAGAGTGTGGTTCCTCAGTTCTTGCTTCCCCTTCCCTATACCGCTCCCTGTCCTTCAGCCCAGGAACCCTGTCTCACAACCCATCTCTCCAACAGCCAGTCTCCTACTCCCCGCAACCCAAAACCTTCCCTAAGATGGTCCAGAAAGCAAGTGGTAGCAGCATGGGGTAGTGTGAGAGCAAGGCAGGCCTGCAGCACCATCCACCAGCTGTGTTGGATCCCATAACAACAGCCCAATACACAGTTCCAACCTAACCCAGCTTAAGCAGGTTGTTGTTGTTATAAAGTGCCATGGAGTAGGTTCTGACCCACAGAGACCCTGTATAGGGTTTCCGAGGAGCAGCTGGCGAGCTTGAACCGCCAACCTTGCAGTTCAAATGGCTTTGCAGTCTGGCACATTAGCCCATAGTACCATACCAGTACTCCCTAGCTTAAGCAGGTAGGATAGGTGATACATTGGACTGTTTATCCGCCTTAAGACCTCCTAATGAACAAAACTCTGCACAGCTACCATATTTTGAGTGCCCATACTACATGCCAGGTGCTGTGCTGGTGGTGGTGGTGGTGGTGGTGGGGAGCAGAGAGGGAGTTGAAAATGGTATTTCCATTAGTCATCTCAGCCATCGGGAAAGGCACCAATGCCTGAAAGTGAAGCTACAGGCCAAAAGTCACCCAGCTGTTAAATGGCAGAATGAGGAAAGAATGATTTATTGTTACATTTTTGAGCTACTTTTTTTTTTTTGTTGCGTGCCAGAGATTTGTTGATCCAACTACCCTGCAAACTGATGGCATTATCTCCATGTATAGATGAGAGAATAGGTCCAAAGAAGTAAAGTAACTGGGCTCAGATCAGCAAGGGACTCATGGGGTATGATTTAAATGTGACAACTCCAGGCCAAAGCCCTGGGTTGCCTTGCTGGTCGAATGTTGAAAGTAGCTGCAGACCCCTGTGACATCTCCAGATGTTCTTTTCAGTGGGTTGGATGGTACAAAAAGACCACATTTGGATAGTTTTGAGGCACTGAGCCAAGTTCTTTGAGGTCCAAGAAAAAGGATCACCAAGGCCATACGGTGGGGGTGCGACTGGAGTCACTGCCATGGATTTGGGGCCAGGCATGTGCTGGCACCAGGGCACAATGAGCAGTTGCCAAAGTCCACACCCTGGAGCGCGACCAGGCTGGTGCATCCAAATGGCATCCATCAGGCTTTCCTCAGGGCTCCTGGGAGGGATGCAGAAGAGCCAGCCAAGTCTAGGGAGTCAGGAAGCCAAGGGTGGGCCAGGAGGCAGGCATGCAGCCTCCAATCACCCTAACCAGGGCAGCTTTCGGGCAGGAAGAAATCTCCCTAATCCCAAGAGGTTTCTGCTCCTAGCTGGCACTGGTTCTGTGGCCTGCCCCATGCGCGTGGCTAGCAGTGCCAGGGGAGGAAAGCACATGGGAGGAGCTGACTTAACTTTCAGTGAGTCCTCTCCAGAGGAGATAAGCAGAATTTTCTGAGCCAACAGAGAAAACGAGGCTCAGGATTAATTCACAGGAGGAGCTAATGGCACAGTTGGGTGGACTCTAGTTTGGTCCCTGTGCCTCAGTACCCTCTTGATGTGATGGGGTCAGGCTTCTCTTGCTCTGTGCATGTGTGCACTCTGTACTTGTACTGGGCTGACTTTTGCAAAAAATTGACTGAGTGACTTGATGTCGTCCCTTCCTCTCGCCTTTTTTCTTTGGCAAGTTTGGGTCTTTAATAACTTATCACTAAGGTTTGGGGGCACTACTTGTGGAGTCCTTGTGTGGCACTGTAGGCTCATCACAGGACAGCTAACCTCAAAGTTGGCAGTTCAAACCCACCAGCTGCTCCTTGTAAACCCTTGCAGCTGGTGGGTTTGAACTGCCAACTTTGCGGTTAGCTGTCCTGGCCTGGTTAGGTGGTAGCAGAGAGAGAGAGTGGGGAGTGAGCAGACTGGAGAGAACATTGGAAAGCCAAATGACCAGGTTGGTTTCCTTGCCCAGAAGTACCGTGCTATGCAGTAATAGGTGCCAAGAAATGAAAGTTCAGTGGGTATACCAAAGGTAGCCGGGGTTCTGTTGCTCTTCTACATTAGTTACCTAGGGTTGCTATAACAGAAATACCACAAGTAAATGGCTTTAATAAGCAAATGTATTTTCTCATAGTTAGACTAGAAGTCCGATGTTAGAACTCTGGGTCTAGGGGACCCTGGCTTTCTTTGTTGGCTATGGAGAAAGGTCTTTGTCTCTTCAGCCTCTGCTTCCTGGTTCCTTGGCGATTTCCATGTGTCCCATCATCTATCTTCCCCCATCTCTCCTCTGCTTGCTTGTTTAATCTCATATCTCAAAAGAGATGGACTCAAAATGTATGTTACACTAATCCTGCTTCAGGAAGTGTGGTGGTTCTGTGAGATAAACACTGGATTTCGAATCACAAGGTTGGCAGTTCAAGCCCACCTGCCACTCTGAGGGAGAAAGATGCTGCTTTCTGCTTCTGCAAAGATTTACAGCCTCAGAAGCCCTTTACAAGGTTATTATGAGTTGGAACTGG